ATTAGCCTACAGAGGAGATCCTTCCGTAGCAAGGAGGTGATTAGATTTCTTTATTTGGAGTGTTTAACTTCCAAGATGCAAGGGAAATTTCCATTTTTCTAAAATACCTTTATGTTATTGTTAGGCTGACTTCTCGAGCAAGGGCAATGATTCTAGTTTTGTCAGTGAAAATAATACCGGCGCTGCTGGGCTATGGATAGGAATCTGGGAAGAAGCAGGGGTTTTTCACCCTAGGTTGGGCAGAATATGGGTCACTCGGCTGTTGTCATTTCTCACTCGACACATTTTGCTGCTTGCTTGGTGCTGTTATAAGCAGTAAGGAAAAAAGCTCTGAGCTCAGCACTCTCAGCAATAGAAGGTTCAGGCTGGGTAGGCTTTCAAGTTTCTTGTTAGAGCTGGTCCCAAATCAGGGCAAGCTGGGCCTTTGCATCTGCTGCCCATTCTTTGGAAGCAGTGTGTGTGGGGGGAGGATAACAACTTGTGACAGTTAAGCAAACTAATAAGATCAGCTGCCTTTGAAATCCAGTTATCTACAGTCTGATCCCAGCACTGGAACTGGTTGCCACCACTTGCGGTTACACTGGAACACATGCCTTTATGTAGTAACAAGCTCCTGACAAAGCTAAGTGTACTCTAGTTTTCCGCTGATATACTAGGGTAACAAATCTGGGTCCCAAGGACTGCAGTCGTAGTGCTTCTCGGCAGCAAAAATTTCTCGTAAAATGAGCCTGTTGCAAAACACACTGTGCAACCAAGTGATAAGAAACTGGTTCTCCTGTTTCCCACCCAGATTTCAGGTGCTATATGAGGAAATGCCTGTCTACCTCATCATCGCTGCTCATAGCCCCTGGGTGGCAGAAGGGACAGCTGAAAGACTTTGACTTATTTATTAGTCCCTTCATTAAGAGGACCTGTGGTGGATGCCTTCCCTTTTCCACTCGCATTATGGGCACTCAGGAGAGGTGTTCTCAGTGTAAGATTGTATGGCCAAAGGTTTACTGGCCTTCCTAACGTGTTAGGATTTAACAAGCTGCCAAAAATCTTTTGGTTAAAACCAAAACAAACAGTATAGACAACATCATTTAAAATACATGCAAGTGCTTGAGGTTGGTCTACGTGCAATATGCCAGAACGAGAGCCCTTATGGAGACAAAAACTTTTTTCCAGAAGAAGTGGTATGCAAAGAATAATGGGAAACTGTTTTTCCTGTGGCACTGGCAAGGTACTTTTAACCTGATATGGTGTGAAAGCAGAGTTTGGTCTCTCTGGCCATGCAGTCTCTGCCTGGTGAATTGACGTGGGTGTGGGATTAAGGGTTCTGAGAAGTCACTCTGGCAGAATTGTGCCAGGCAGCCGGCAATCGGAAGGAGGAGAGAGTAGCAAATGGCAGCTATGTTTTTTCTGACAGACAAACCTTGCTAGAGACAAGTGACCTGTGTGCTTTCTATCTGCCTCCTTTTCTCCATCCTCTGGCCTCTTCTTTCATGATTTACACGGCCATTGTTTAGAGTCAAAAGGATTCAAAGTAAATAATTTAGAATCAAGTGGTCAAGTCATAATGTGGAGAAAGCTTATAATGGGGATTAGCATTTGGGACAGTGGTTGCTGTAGATGTGGTGAGTAAACCATAGAGCTGGATTATTTGTATCAGTGATGCTGTGGGAGCATTGGAAGAATCTTTTTGCAGAGGGGATGGGATAGTAGATGGGTTCATCTTTAAAAGTGTAATTGAGTTCTAATACCTATTTTAATTCCAGGAAGTAGCAAGTATGTGCTTGTGGAGAAAGCTAGCGCTGAGTTATTCCCAGTTAGTTTGCCTTGAGAGGTGCTTCCTGAGATGGAGACTTCTGTCAGGTATCAGCTACCTTTTCATACAGAAGAACATACAAAGTATGTGTGGGTTTATCAGGGAGCTGAAAGGGCCACAGCTTGTTTGTAGTACAGGAGAAGAGAACCTTGCTCGTATATGATGTATGCAACAAAATAGTATTGATGGAGTTCCTATATGTTTCAGAATCTCCATGATTTGAGGAAGGATAAAAATACTTAATCACACAGCTACAGCTGTCAGCTACTTAAGAGCAAGAAGGGCAGAAAGAGAGACTGTAAAATGCTCAGGTCATTGCTGCCGAGGTGTGTTTGGAAGAACTTCCTCACCTTCCAGGTGCTCCAGGAACCTCATGATAAGAACTGAAGCTGAAGTGAGACAGGAAAACAGCCCAACTACTTAAACAGCTGCTATTAGGAAGATGGAAATCTCCAAGATTGCCCAGGGAACACCTGATTTGCTGCAGTAAAAACATAGGTTGAATGTAGGGTGAACATCTAATTTAAAGGTAATGAAACATAAGAATAGGCTGCAGACCAACGTGGAATCTCATCAACAGTTTTCTAAGAATTACTTGGACGATAGTTTAATCCCCTGTGTGCCAGGAAAGATTTCATAGAAACACAGGGGATTAAACAAGGAGTTTCAGAGAACCCACCTTTTTATGAGGAAGGCTTTTCTATTGAAATCTATCGACTCTGGATGAGACCCCAAATCTCAGAATTCCCTTAAATTTTAAGATTAAGCATATGCTTATGAGCTTAGTTTAATAGAGATGTATTAATTAGCTTAAGACTTTAAAAGGTAGTCATACGATAAGGCATTCATGTGTGGAAGGAAAACATGAATTAGTGACATTCCAAGAATCCAATATGAAAATATGCACTACTGTGCTTTTCTAGGATTTGAGTGTCCTGGGTGCATATTTAGTCACAACCCATCTCGCCATAGTCCGACTGTTAGTGCTCTTTCCACTGTGATATAATAGACTGGCCTGTTTTTATTACAGTTACAGTTTGACAGTTTGCAATGCACAGTCTAGTTTAAAAATACATATATATTAGGAAACAGAATGGTGTAATGAGTTTCTCCCCAGTCTTCTAGGGCAGTTCGGCTGCAAGCCGTTTTTCTGACCTAAAATGTCATGTTTCAAAGCCCTGCTTCATTATCATGGCGCCTGCTAGCTGTAGTTAAGGGTCTGTTAGCAGCCCCATTATAAATCCCTACTTCCAGGAGTTTATAATTCAGCAGTAAAAAACTGCTCTAGGCTGAAACTTGGCATATAAAGTCTTAGTGCAGGAACAATTGTGATTTCTTCCTCTTTTATTTTTGCTTACACACACACAATTCATTCAGTAGGTTTTTACTGTCCCCTTTTGGCATTTAAAAAGATTAAATGGCTGGGTTATTAATATTTTAATACTGACTACTGTGCTTGGCCAGTAAATTGATTCACATCGTCTGTTAACCCGGCTCCGTTTGATGGATACGAGTTACTGTTGCACAAACCTGCTGCAAAGCTTTGGCTTAGTGGAAACAGCCCAGTGTGGATCATGGTAATTGTTCATTAGCTGTTGATTAAAGTGGGCTTCAGAGCCAGCCATGTCCGAATCTGGGAACCCAGTTTGAGTGCACTAAGCTGGGTGTGCTGATCCTGCATGGGCGGAAGCTACGTGTGGCTGCGTGCAAAACTAAAGTCGTGTGGCCCCTGCTCAGATATGGAGGAACATGAAAGGGCCTGAATTACTGTCTCTCCTCAGCGTGATTTGATCTTCTCGCTTGATCCTATACAAATACATTGCTGTGAGATCTTCTGATGGGATGTCCTCAGCATGATTTGATCTTCTCACTTGATCCTATACAAATACATCACTGTGAGATCTTCTGATGGGATGTCTAACGCTATGAGGAGACTTGTTTTAAATTCTTCCAGCTCAACTGTTTCTTTATTGAAACTATGGTTCAGTGAAACTGATTATTTCCCTGTATTTTTTTTTCCTGGTTTACAGGAAATTTCAGTGTGGAAAAAGTTATTTAAATTTATTACTCCTAGAAATTATAGAAAAATTACTTATTTCAACCTTATGGAAAACATTATAGTAACTTCTATTTTTATTGAATTTTATAATATTTTTATAGGATATATAACACATTTGTACTGTAAAGTCCTTACAACTAAATGAGGGATAACAGAAACTTCTAAATATATAATGTAGAATGCAAAGGTTAAAAATGAGACTTTTACAAGAACGAAATGTTTTGGTTTAAGTGAATTTTTTTTTTTCCCTTCAAGAACTGATTTTAGACATTTTGTTCTGATCTAGGATTTGGGCACAGTTAAATCATAGTATTTCCTCCAAGTCCCCCAAAAAGCTTGCTGTGCACTGGTGTTTGCAAAATCAGGATCAGGGTATATGTTGCCGTTAGCATATTAAGCTGCAGTAACTCAACAGTGAAATGTCTTCACTATTACGGGACTGAGTCACACCCTGGACTTTCTCATTTCTTTGCCACCCTTCCAACCACTTATATTTAATTTACAAAGGCAGCCTGGGGAAGATCAGTTTTCTTTAGTATCTTTTGTGTATTGTTCTGATAGATTATAAATGCTTATTGCAAAAGACTTGACCAGGTACTAAGCAATCAAGTGTGAGTGACTGAAATGAGACAGCAGATTATCCCCCTGCCCCTGCAGATTTCAAAGGCCCTGCATTGGTTTATACCAGCTCAAAATTTAGCTCTATTACTTTATCTTCTGTTGGATCATGATTCCACCTGCGTGCTCTAAACCAAAGGGTTTTCAACTGCCTGTAACTGATTTATTTCTTTTTTTTTTTTTTTTTTTTTTTTTTCCCCCTGAGAAGACTGATTTCGTCTCACTGGTCTGTTTGCTGTTGATTTAGTCTGGGGACACCTGAGCATCTCTATAGTGCCTGCAGGTTCTCTGTAGGGTGCCTCTGGACCTGCATTACCAGTGCAACCCATGTAGGCCAGGACAGCTTGTTCTTGTGGGACCTGAGTCTCATCTGCTATTTGCTTGTACCTTATCTTTAGGAAGTGTCCTGCCAGCTGGGAATCACTGTTCTGTGCAACAAGACGCAATATGTTTTATTTCCTGCATCTTTTTTAATACGTCAGGAATAATTTTCAATTATCTCTTTATTTGCTTAGCATGGCGCACATATTAAAGACACTCAACAGCTGGTTCTGGTGGGAGAATATCTGGATGCCTATCAATTGCACATGGGCACATTTTGTAGACCGTGATGGACTTGTCTTTCCAAAACCACATCAATTATATGCCACAATACCATATGCTTTCGTATTGCTGATTATTCGATTCTTCAGTGAAAGGTAAGAAACATAAATGCAATTTTATGTTAACATTAATCCTCATTAATGCTAAAAATTTTTGAAAAATAAGATATCTTTAGATCAATGTTCTTATGTTTTTATAAAGGAGGATTAGCTGGTGGTTTGCTAGAAAGATCTAGTGCAGATAATATGGCAGGTGAAAAATTGGGAAATATTTTTCACTATTAGGAACATGTGGCTGTGGTCCAATCCAGATGGAAAATATTTCTATCTAGCATTTCTAGAACAGCAAAAGGAGGTAATTCTCATTATCTCCTTTCACTAGAGATACAATTAATACAAACCCATCTGGGTTTCCTTGTGCTTTTTCTCCTTTGGTGGATTGGGTAGAGGTATTTGTCCCCCATACTAAACCTCTCCTTTTGTTTGGTCCTCCACCAGAACATTTGTGTGAGGCTGATAGATCCCAGGTGTCCAGCTGCAGCAAAACTAGGCAGACTGGAGGGATCTCAAAGTTTCATGTGAACGTTTTATGCGGATCTAGTAATGCTGATTCCTTTTTTTTTTTTCTCACTTTGGCACTGAAAGAGAGATTGCTTCTGCAGCTGGAATCTTGTCGGACAGGCAGAGGTTGGCTCCACAGAAGAAAGCCACAAATACATTAAGATTTGCAGTACTTTGACTTATTTATTTGAGCATTTTTGCTTGACTTTCTTTTTTTTGCTCTAAAGAATGGGATTAGTAGGTTTTTATAATTATTTCAGGATAGAATGAGGAAATTTGGAATGTCATACGTTGCACAGACTTAAAACAGAACCAGATAAGAACATTCATATTAGACATGAAAAGTAATTTGGGTCGTATGTTTATAACCATTCACAGCGTCTCCTGAGTAAATGCTTGCCCAACTGTGTCTCACTGCGCTGCTATTGGAAATCGCTGGTGTGAATAATTAGCCCACACATCTGGCCTGCAGTGAATCTGCCCATGAATGAGGAAAACTGACTGCTGCTATGAGTAATAAGGAATCAATTGCTGATATCAGCAGGAGTGAGGGGCGGGCTTTTTCAGAAAAGCCCATCCGAGTAGAAGAATGAAGCATTTGGCGTGCTCTGCAGCAATTTGTATTGGAAAATGGAAGAGAAAGAGAAGCCTTCAGTCTCTGGGGGAGTTGCTGTGTGCCACAAGCTAGAGGCCGCAAGCAGAATCCAGTGTCTTGAGCAGTGGTAGCCCTGTGAAGCAATGTGCTAAGTGACTATCTGCCACTAGGAAAAAGTATCCCAGTAGCAGCTCACATTGAGAGAACATGTGTCCTTGTTTCCCTCTCCCTTAACTGCTGCTTAACTCCAATATGCCTCTGAAAAACACAAGGGTGCAAAAATCAGGATCTTTCCTTTATTTTTATAGCATTTCAGGACCAAAAACTTGAGTCCTTGGGTTTGCTTTTTTGCATAACTGCTAATATGCTATGGTTCTCTCCTGGGATTAGCTAGAGGGAGATTCCTTTCTCTCACAGTGCATGGTCATATCCTATGGCAGATTAAATTGCTTTAGATTTACTTTCTTCATAGCCTGGCATGAGAAAAGCTAAGGTCTTGTAACTATGTTGTATTTTTAAAGTTTTTCATGGTATGTCTTTTCAGATATGTTGCTATACCTCTAGCAAAAGCCTTAGGTATAAAGAATGTAAGACGTGTGAAGCCACAGCCTAATCCTGTCTTAGAGAGTTATTTCCGGGAGTGCTCAAAACATCCATCCCAAGTAAGGATTCTCATTCTTCTACACTAGTTTTGGTTTTGGAAAATCCCAGCTCTTACTGTTTGAATCAGCTATTGAAAATGACATCATGGGATGAGTTCCAGCTGATTGACAGATGACTTAATTTATTTGGGGTTTTGTTGCTATTCTGCTGACAAGGGTATATGGCATCCAAAACAGAAAATATGTTTAAGATGTTTAATTTTCTGGCATGCTGTTCTAGGTTAGTCTGTTAATAATATTTCCAGTGAAGATCAGTGTTCCATCTTTAACTCATTCTGTCTGGAGAAAACATCAGCTGACATCTGTTGTTGGAAAGTGGTATCATATTTATTGCGAGCAATAATATTGGAACGCTGGCATGGAAGCCTTTTGATCTGTTATATTGCTGCATGCTTAATCCTGGCTTATGTGAGAAAGAAAAGCAATCTCTCTGTTATCTTGCTGTTTGTTTTTAAAATTGAACAAAAGAAGAATAATAGCCAATGTTTACTATCCCAAAAAATGAGGCCACTTGATTGTTGATGGGAAACAGGTACTTTGCTGTGAATGCAGCGTCAGAAAGTTCGCTTATCTAGCTACAGTTAGCAAACAATTGCAGTGTTCCTACACTGTTTTTGAAAAGAAGTATGTCCTTTCTGGTAATGGGGGATATTGATAATTATTGATATGTGGAACTTTGCTTTCTATCCTTAGCTCTGCTATTCTATTATTGTGTCTTTTGCCTGGTATCATCAGGAATAGTTGTATTCATGTTCACATATAAGCTCTTCTCTATCAGGGCAGGTATCCCGATCTGTTTCATACCTTCCTTCTGCATGACTACAGTTTGACAACTAATCTCTGAAAGGAGGCACAGAATTTTTATACTCATCAGTACATGGGAAGGATTCAGGCTGCCTCCCTTAGGTGTCCGGCCTGGGGACCAGCGTGCCCGAGAAAGCGTACAGAGGCCTGGCTAGTGATTGAGGATGTCTAGCCTCCGTTGTCTGTCAAAACAAAGTCATTATTCCTGCCTGGCAAGTAGAGAGCTCTCCAGACAGCAGGATGGGCTGAGCACAGAGGCTGTTTGCACCCCTGCCCTCCCTGGCAGCTGAGATGCCTTTCCTCACATACCGGAGCTTTCCCTGAGGGTAGGAGACTAACTGAACTGGACTTACCTTGGTGGAGGCATCGCTGCTGCCACCCACTATTTGCATACTAGCCTTGCAGGGAAAGAGCTTCCCCAGGAATGAGTGGAACACTACCTCTGCTCTTGCAGCAGCCCCAGGGGAGGTCAGCCCACAGCTTCCGCGCTTCAGATTGGAGGAGAGGGGGAAAAACCTACAGGCTGCTTCGTGTGGGGCACTGAGCACCCAGAAATACAAGAGTCACGCTGCCTTGTGCTTAGCACGTGCTAGCATGGCTGTGCAGCAGAGCTGCTTCACCTTCAGAGCACGCATAAAGTAGGGACACCTGACTGTTGCACTTGAATGACTAGATGCATTTCTAGGCAATGCTGTAGTCCTAATTTATTTTTAGGTGTCAAAAGGCAGTCTGGTTTCTGCTCAGTAAGATTAACTGATTTGCCCTGTACCACAGAAGGACATTTGATTTGAGAAGAGAGCTCATGTTGCCTTAATTCCAGGCCCATGTCTCGCCTGTGAGACTAATTTAAATATAATCTAATAATTAATCATAATTAGGTAAGTTATTAGATACAATGTCCACATGTGTTGATGCAGGGCACTTTCCCCTCCAGCCACGCCTCTTGCTTAGCAGTAGAAGCTGCATCCTTGAAACTATCAGAAGCCACCAGGAACACTATAGCACAGATTGTGGATCTGTATATTTCACGCCCGCTTTATTTATATAATTTAGTGTCTCAAAAATCTGTGAGTGTGACTCAAAAACTAAGCCAGGAAGCCTGCAAGGTAAACCCCCATAGATAGTTAATATTAGTAATATTTTTAAATGAAGACCTTACAACAGTGGGAAGGTGATCTGTGAACCACAAAATAAATGAAAATTACATTGGAGCACATCCTGTTGCTAACGCTGTTCCATTTTTTTTTTTTATTGCAGTCAGAGATTCAAGGCCTTGCCAAAAAGTGCAACTGTACAGTCCGTTTGGTGGAAAAATGGTTTAGGAGACGGCGAAACCTTGAGATCCCAACAGTGCTTCGGAAATTCCAGGAAGCTTTGTAAGAAAAGACAATGCTTTTGATTATTATGGATTTTACTGTTTTGAAAAAAAAATTATTGAGGTCCTCAGGTGCTCTTTAAGGGGGACCCAATTCCAACAAGCTGGGTCTGTCTGACAAGGGGTTTTGTTTGTGCATACACAAACAAATTGAAAGGATCTAGTAGCATTTCTCCAAATGGTGTGACTTTGAAAGATTAGGTTAGCAGTTTCTCCAGAAAAAAAACTCAAAAATATTTTTGTTTTCTCCATTGTGTAATAATGGACTTAGCTGCTGCTACATAGTGCTTAATGAAAACATACAGAGAACATTAATATATTTTTCTCTCTGCCAGTAATCACAGAGGAATAAAAATGCTTACTCAGTCTTGTTTGTGTATATACCCATGCTGTCATTTTGGGATGCTATTATATGTAGAGAAGTCAGTTCAAGAACAGGAATCTTGGCATCTAAACTAAATGATAGGTGTTGCAGCTTGAACGTGAGGTACTGTGCAAAACATGAGCTCAAATATGCTGATAAGAGTGGGCCATTAAGCAATTTTGAGTGATAATAATGAATATGTAAAAGGTTTCAAAACCTCCTGCATATAGTTGAAAACTGGAAAAGCATTCAAGAGTCTGATTTTTCACAAATGTGTGAGAACTTCTGTATGCCTAAACCAAAATCCCATACAAATTGCAAATCCCCAAATGGGCATGGCTTTACTTACAGAGCTCATCCCTTTTGGATACTGAAATTAACTGTACCAGGGTAAAACACTTTCCTAACATCCTGTGTCTTTGGATTTTTGACTAGCATAATTACATTGGCAAAAATTCACATGATTATAATATGTAACTACTTTTAGTGTAGATTAGCTTAAAGAACGATGGTTAAAAGTACAGCTAAAAAGCTCATGAGTACTTCGTCAAGATTATTTTCAGTGGGAATCAATATGATAATAATTTGATTATGTCCTCTGTTGGGCATAAATCCAGTTGATAAACATAGATGTGTCGCTCTGAAACCTCACTGAGTTGAGTAAACTGTCCTGGCAAACCAATATCTATGGTTTATTTCTGCTGTTGTTTTGTGGATCAGTTAACTTTGTTTTACAAGTGACAATAAGATTTTCTGCTATTGATAAAAGACCTACCTCACATGGATGCACGTCTCTAGTAATACACAGCCAAAGACTGAAATTAAAACTTGCTTGGCAGCTTGAGTGAGAATGAAGCAAACAGATTTCTCTTGTGCAATTTTGTGAACCTTGCTCTGCTCTTTGTGAGTGAATTTAATTGGATATAATTCTCAAGGCAACAAATGAGGAACAGAGTTATTCCACGTTAATAGTTGGTGTTAGGAGCATTATGAAATTCTTGAAAGCCTGCAATCTCCAGGATCATTTTACTGAATCACAGGGAAAATCTGATGAGCCAGATCTAAACCATACTTAAGCTATTAATGCTCCCAGTTAAGCAACACCGGGGTTTGGAAAGCCCCTTGCATGAAACTTTCCCTGCCTTAAAAGACTTACCAGCCTTTAACTTCACCTACTAAATTCTTTTTTGTTTTACTCAATTGAAGAAAAAGATTCCTGAAGTAAAATAGGAAAATCCATCTGCATAGCTGTTGTTTGGAGCTTTCTCTGGTGGCCAGGTTCAGAGCTTAAAAGGCACTTAGGTCAAAGTTGGTGAATTTGGATGAGTTTTACTTTAGATTTTGTTCACCAAATTCATAAAGAAGCTTGGCTAAATGCAAAATGAGGTAGTGCTCTGGCAGTCCTGTGTGTATAATGAGTTCATCTGAAGCACTGAGTGTTTATTGCTAAGTGCATTTGATTTATACTTGTAGGGCTGGGGACTAATGGCACAGTCTCGATAGGTGCTCTGTGCTTTGGATCTGGACTACTCACACCTCCCTTGCTTGAAACAGGAGGCGCGAGGGCAGAATCAGCATCTGTGTAAAATGTCTGTCCCATGCCATGGTGGTGTTTGTCATAGCGTCTCTTGGTTAACTCTGAGCCAGGTATTAATTGTGGCTTCCACTCTCCCTTTCCGTTTGCTCTCCTAATTCCCACCACATACCTTTGAATTTTTCTGTCTCCGCAGTGAATGGTCTGAAGTATTATTTTCAAATCACCTGAGGAAAAATGCTTTAAAGTCGAAAAGTAAAACGATTGTTTATTACCAGTGTATAAAGTGGCAATTTTATAATTGTTTCCTTGACTTCTTCCGCAGGCGTGAGACATATTATCCTGTCTAGCCTCTGCCATTCTGTGTCCTCATCTTTTGTTTGTTTGTTTTTCTTGTAAAATGCTGGCTCAGTCTTTGAACATCTCATTCTTTCACCTGGGATTTCAGCCTCTAGATAATGTAGGGCTCAGAAAGGAGCAGCTGCTTTTACCAGACAGGTTCTCACATTTTCTCTCCTATGGCACTTCATTAATGTTTGCCAAAGACCACAATCTCACTTTTATACATCTGTCAGTCCATTAGTATACAGTTTTCCTTGAGGCGCACTCTCCTCATTTTTAGCAAATTTAGGTTTTCTTGGAGGCTGTTTGCTGATCTCCTCTGGGATACCTCTCGTTCTATAAAATGTTCTCACGGGGTTTGGGGCCGTGTGCCTGTCTGTGTGATCATGACTTTTCTCACCATGTGAAGTCCCACAGTGTTTTCCTTCTGATCTTGAAGAGCGGCTCTGGGAAAGGTTAGGCTTGTTCCTGTCAAGAAGAGTGGAAAGGAAGAAGTTTTCCGTCACCTGTAGAGGTGGGAGTGGGAATCCTCTGGCTGAGTCTCCAGCCGCACCCAGTCCCAGGGACAATACCTCCCACACAGGCTCCAGAGTCATTACAACGTTGATTGCTGGCTCCAAATCACAGCATCCTGCTCTGACATATAAAAGCAACAACATAGTTTCGGTTCAGCCCGATACACAAGAACTTTTTTCCATTTGCTGACTTACCAGTTCGGTGGTGGAAACCTGAAAGTTTTATCTGCCTTGACGGATATCCATTTAAGCCACAAAAACCTTAGATCACACCAAATGCTGGCAAACCTAGTCAAAGATTGAGGTTTATGGTTAATTCAGACCTCCATAGCAAGACATAAACTAATCCAGCAGCTGCTAAAGTTTCATAGGGCTCCCCTGTTTTCAACAGTCACTGTTAAGAGATCAAAAGAAATTATTCCAGCAATTTAAACAAGTCACTGTTGGTGCTCATGGTGTTCACGGTGTTTGAACAGGTTGGAAAGTATGTGCCATGTGGCTGAAAGACCTTCTGGAGTTAGGGAGCTGTGAGACGTTTTTAGTCCAGTGTGCATATTCTAGAGGGATTAATATAGCGGGAAAGGTTGGTGTTATCAAACACTAATTTTTAGGGAATTTATTACGTTTGCTGTGACTGTTCTCTTAATCAGCTCGTGCCTGGCTGGAAAATTACTGCTGTAATCACAATCAAGATCTCTGTATTGAGATAATGTAAACTAACTTCCTACTTTAGCAATTAGTCAAAGCTTAAATATTTAAATATTAATAATTCAGGTATAGTTAATATGTGACAACCCTTAATGTAGCGTGTGAGGGCATGTTTATGTGAAGATTGTCTGTGATATGCAATGATTTGCAGTCTATAAAAATATAATGCTTTGTTCTTACTCTTTCATTTCAATTTTGCAGCTGGCGATTTTCATTCTATCTTATATCCTCCATTGCTGGATTTATATTTCTGTATGATGTAAGTTAATTTTTTTGAAAGATTGATATTATCTTTTTAACAAAGCAAGGACTGATTTCTAGATTTTCTTGAAACCCACTGAAAGACTTGCTGGTTTCAGTGGCTATTTGGGTTCTGATCTTTGACGTGTGCAGTCTAGATGATAAGCTGCAATATGCATTGAGGTTTTACTTAACTTTTAAATTATCATTTGAACTTCAGTGATAAAGTAATTTATGAGTAATCATTATTTTTAAGGAAAGTTTTAAGAAGTCACAGAAGTGTTTTTTACAATATGCCTTGTTAATACCTACAAATGCATTACATGGCTGTGTTTTTCTCAAAGAAGGCCATAAACTTTTTATGGCAGCATTTTTGGGGGTCACAACGATGGTGTATTTCACGGCTATTTATTGAGGTGTTGCTGCTGAGTCAGAAGTTGGGAATAACAGAGAGAGTGCTGCTTGTAACTGTGTGAGCACTGCCTGGGGTGTCATTAATGCTTCTCCTGAGCAGCAGAACGGTTCCCAGCATGTCTACATTCATCTGGCTCTTCTCCCCAAACACTGTTTATCATCATGAACCACTGGTGTCTGTGGCTGGTAAACACAGCAAAATCTAATCACTGTGGCAACATATCTTGAGTAATTGCAGTAATAAAACACACGCCCACTGCTTTGGATGATGAAATGATGAACTGGAATGTTTCAGGTGTCCTGAAAAGAAGCCAAAAAGCTGGGACCAATATAATAAATCTGGGATGTAAGATTCCTTTTAGAAATTGTGGGGGAACAGTTATCAAGACTGTAGGCTCTTAGCCTGCACCACTTAGAGAAATGTGAAGTATTGAAGATTTTGAGTTAAGATGACTTATTGTTGCTCAGCTGATCAGTCTCTGAATCATCTGTCTTCCCAGAAACCTTGGTTTTACGACATATGGCAGACGTGGGTTGGCTATCCATTTCAGGTGAGCTTTTTGGCCTTGCGCCGTTGGCCTTGAGGCATTCCGGGTATTTCCCCATTGGAAGGGGTAATCCGCAGAACTCTCCCTCCCAACGGGCACACCTAGAGAGGTGTGTCACCAAAGCCTTTTTGCCCTTCTTTGCTACCTCCTGCTGACTGTTGCAGGACTTCTCCGTGATCTGCCTGTGCTGCAACTCGGCCCTCCAGCCAGACCACTCTTATTTCCACACATTCCAGGTTACCAGTTGCGCGCAGTAGATGCTATCTGTGTTACGGGTTTCGGTGCAGAACCCCGAAGCTTGCACCAGGCCTGACGATACTTTGAGGCACTGCAGAATAGCATTATGCAGAGGGTTGTGCCGAGCAGCCCGAGTGCTGTGTGCCTGCTGGGCCCTGTTGCTCAGTAATGTGGGTGGAGGGAGCTCTGCAGTGATTTGGTTTGGCATAATGTGAGTCCCTGCTCTGGGGATCTCTGCTCAATACTCTGGTTTTTCCCAAGGGTCATGAAGCTCTCTCGTCCTAAAATATTTTGCTAACAAACAGTCCCATAACAGATGACTCCAAGCAAAATGCCCTCTTGCCCGCCTTCTAGAGGTTCTTATGTGCTGCCCCCTTCTGTTTTTATAAATCTGTAGCCCATCACACTGCCTTCTTATTCCTGCCAAGGAATTCAGGGGCCAAGAATAAAGGGAATCTTGCTTCCCAGCAGAGTTTTCCTAGCTTCTTACCCATGGGATCTGATAACCAAATCTACTTCCTGCCACCTGGGAAACTTATTGAACAAGGGAGCAGCCAGGCTCAGCATCTAGCCCTAAGTAGATGCATAGGATTTTAGCATACATAGCTGATATTTTAGTCATGGGATGTGTGAATGTTAAAAATGTTAATTGTTCACCAAAATGGAGGGCCTCATTTATTTGCAGTTGTTTGTAATTAAATGCAGAAGCACTCTGCGTGTAGTTCTCTGACAGAAACATAGGAAAAAAAGCATGCTAAAATTCAGAGATGGGGGAGGAACTGCAGAAAGTGAGAGTTTGGTCTGAGTAAAGGTTAAAATATTTGGCTCCCAGAACATCCTTCTTAATGAAGCCCAGAACAGGGATTTAGTTTAGTTTAATTTTTTAAGCAAGACTCAGCAGAGGAGCAAAAGAAGTGAGGAAAGGAAAAAAAGAAGTAATTTCACTTGGCATTCACTTTTTGCTATTCTCAGAGTTAACTGTGGTTTTCTTCATTACAGACTCTGCTGCCATCCCAGTATTGGTACTACATGGCTGAGATTAGTTTTTACTGGTCTCTCTTATTTACACTGGGGATTGACAACAAAAGGAAGGCAAGTGGTCACGCTTGTTTGTAGCTTGAACCTCCGTTTCGGGGTGGGGGGGTGAGCGTGTTTATAAGGAAAAGCACTGTCCTGATACTGGATTTTGGTGCAGCCACATGAGGGCAGCATCAGTCTGTCCCTGGCACACCTGCACGCATCCATGCTTTCCTGGCTGCCAGGGCATCTCTCTGTGTGACAAGTCTTGCTTGTCACTTCATCCACATGGACAGCCTCGAGGGCTGTACTTGCTTGGATCTACCTTTTTTCTTCTCTCCTTCACAGGATTTTCTGGCTCATGTCGTTCATCACTTAGCAGCCATTGGGTTGATGAGTGGCTCTTGGTGTGGCAATTATGTGCGTCTTGGAACACTGGTGATGTTTGTGCACGATACTGCAGATTTCTGGCTTGAGGTAACCCTGCCCTCCATCTGATTTTGTTTGTTTCCTTTGGGGGTTTTGTTGGTGTTTTGGGGGTGTGGTTTTTTTGGTTGTTGCCCAGGTTATGTTCAGTGATGTTTTAATCTTTTTTTACCACAAGTTTCATACGATCCCTTCCTATCCCCACAGACACAAGACTTCACAAATTCATAAATTGTAAGATAAAAAAGAACTTCTGGATTATTTAAGCTGATACTCTGTTACAGAATCCGTTATAAGAAAAGAGCAGAAGAGAAGTTCTTCAGTACAGAACAGGGTCTGGAAATACAGCTACCTCCCTGGATTATTCTTGTTTTACTGTTAAAATTCGACCAATCTGGATAGCTTGTGAACAGTTTGTCATGATACCAATTCTCAAGCAAATTTAGCTGCCAAAATTTTGGCTGCTTCTCCAAACTGGCTTAATTTTGTCAGCATTCACAGCCCTGTGTTGACCCAGGGGGTACCTCTATGTTATACGCTATACGCTTCTGGCTGGAGACGCTCAACCTGTCCCTGAACAAGATACCATGGGTATCTAGTGGCAGAAGAAAAGTTTTTTCCACTGGACTGAAGGGGGAGTCCCTTCCCTGAACTAAATATAGATGTTTAGAAGTATTTAAGATTAAGAAGTGTCTTAGTCTGCACACAGCACTGTGGTCATAGAGACTTGTTGTTGGGTTTCTTGGAGGACAAATGCACACTGTGGTTCCTTCAATAGAGAGCATGGCTTCATCACCTCTTCTGGTGGCAGTGCCAGTGTAAGCAGCCCTTGTAGGCTGTTGTCTGTCACTGTTCATTTCTGCTCCTGGTACTCTATCTGTTGTATTGGAACAACTAATTGTGGGGTTATGCAGTTGAGATTGGTCCAGATTAAATGTGTACATACAGGGTTTTTTGCTGGGTTACTTCTGAGCTGCTTTGTGGTCCAATTAACTATGTGGCCTTACAAACAGTTGAACTGACAGCTGGTAGGACAGCACTCAGACAGAAACTGAAGTTGGGTACCAGAATTACTTAATTCATTCCTGCCACTCAAAGAGGAAAAAAAATAAAAAAATCATCAAACTGCAGTTTAAAACCTAGGCTTGGCACCTGAAGCTTTGTTCACACTTGAGAACAGCTGTTTCATTCAACAGTGCCCAGGGCGATTCCGAAATGAAGCATGGAGAGTTGTACAGTTCAGCTAGGGGAGAAGAAGTAATTATAATCATTATTAGCAGGATTGAGATCAATGCTAGCATCTCCGGCTCTCAAAAAGGAGGAAACAGAGTAGGGTCAGTAACATACATGCAGCAGAGTGTCTGTGTATAAGAGGTCACCGCCGCTTCTGAGCGTGCAGATGTGGCCAGCAGCTTCTCTTTGATTCAGCCTGTTTTGAATCTGGTACAGCCACGAGGGATGAACCTCTGTTTTCAAGAGCACTTAGTGTTTTCATGACACTTTTATATTCTGATCAGAGAGTTGTTCTTTAGGCCTTTGATACAGAGTCCTTTCCTTTAAGATGAAAGGAGAAATATAAACAAAGAATCTGTTTTGATACTGCTTTATTAGGTATCAGTAAAATGATTGCTTTACATGTCAAACAGGGAGGAAATTTTCTTCCTGCTTAGGTGGAAGATGAGTCCTTGTTTATGAAAATGCAGAAGGGAACTTATTTCAGAGAATATTTGTAATATGTCTGATGGTTTTTATTCAATGCAGGCAGCCAAAATGTTTAATTACGCTCACTGGGAGAAAACATGCAATATACTCTTTATCATCTTTTCTATCGCATTCTTCATCACAAGAATCATCCTGTTCCCCTTCTGGTAAGTAATATTCAACGTAGTCACAGGCTTTTATTTCATTCCCATTTCAACCTAAATAAAGACTTTTACGTATTATTTACCTTATTTTCATAAATTGTGGTTATATGCTGTGAGCTCCTGCATTTTCAAGGGGATTGAGCTACTTGACTAGCAGAAATAATTTTCCCTTTCATTCCATCCCTCCTGCTGTAGTTGCAAAGTCAGAGTACAGTGTAATTCCTATATGATTGTAGCTAATTTTTGTAGTGCCTTCTTTTGGCTACCTAGTCCTTGAGTAATACCTCACCTCACTTACTCATATGAGGAGCACTCAGAAAAGTTAAGGTGAACCAGTTAATATAAGAATTCAATGCAAATCATAACTTGCTAAGTACTTGCATGACTTTGGAGTGCTATGGCTTAAGATGCTTTGGAGTATCCACATGAGTGCTTAGTGTGCTTAATGCCTAACATGTTTAGCTTTTAAAAAGTGTTTAATGTGTTTCACATTCACGGTTTCATTGACTTGCTCTAGTTTGCCTCTGTGCCCCTCCCTGCATGTGGACAAACCCATAGAGATTCAAGCTGGTTAAATTAATAGTTCTGAACATTGATCAACACAAGGTTTTAATTTCCTGTAGTATTTTCTCTCAGAAATGCTGATGTCTTTTACTTTCTTGTTATTTTTTGATTAACCATACAAGTGATCTCCAATCATTTTGCTTCACTGAGTTTCTTGAGCTTGAAAGCAAAATGTGATGAGATTAAAGGGAATCAAAAAGCCCCAAATAATATAGAAGTGAAGTCTCAAGATGGACAAAACATATGTTAATTAACAAAAAGCCCTGTTGCAAAGCCTGTAGGATTTTCTCTGGAGTGTGGATTTCAGATTAGAAAGAATTTGCATTAAAAAAAAAAAAAGGCATAGACAAGCTCAAAGTTGCATAGTATCTAGACCACACAGAGCTCAAGATTAAAAAGAATGGCATTTTTTCTAACCTTATTTAGAATACTTTCATGCAAGACTCAAATTTCTCATCTTCTGAAGTCTATATTTCAATGGAGATGCGTAATCTAGTTAAGACAGGGGTTGTTAATTAATCTGTCATCTTTGCAGAGCTTCTTAATATCTTGTGGAAATAGTTAATCAGTTTGGAATGTGAAATTAGAAATAGTTGTAAATAGCATAGAGAAGAAATCTTGCACCATAACAATGACCTTTCTTTTTTAGGATTCTTCGTGCCACGTTGTATCAACCCACGTACTACTCCACGACTCCTGTCATAGCATACTTTTTATTCAATGGACAGCTATTGATCCTTCAAGGCTTGCATTTATATTGGGGTTACTTAATTTTCAAGATTTTGAGAAGGTTCATTTTCTTAAAGGTAAGCAATTTTGCTTCTGCAGAAAGATGTGTTAAGTATCAAAGAGATGAAGCACCTCCAATAGATTTACTTGGAATTTCTTATTGTTTTCATGAACTTTTGTGTCAGCATTTTTGATAGGAATCTACAAAGTATAGAGATGTTCAAATGTGCTTTCTACCTCTCATTGTCACAACTGAGGTCATAGATCAGAATATCAAAACTTCAGCTAGAATCTTTTTTTGCCTGTATCTGATGTTTTGCTCTGATAGTAAATGAGAAATGAGCTCTCCCAATGGTGCAGAATTCTTTAAAAATTCCTGTGTTCTGAGTGAAAGCAATCTTTTCTCATTGGACTCTGTAGGAGACACACCAAAAAAGGAGAGGAGAGGTGAGTTATGAGAACTTTGACTACAAGCTTTCTGTAGTATTTAAAGTTCTTCAGGTTTGTCTAAATCTGATATCAGCTATACTTGAAGAATCGTTTTGGTTTAAGAAAAACATATGAAGCTGATCTGGTATTATATTATGACACAATGAAATACTGTCACATTCAACTGAAGGAGAGAAACAGTACAAGTCTGGTGCTGCCATAATCTGCTTTTACCTCGTAGAGAAAATTAATGTGGGAAAAAAGCTATAAAGAAAACTTTGCTGCAATCTAGATCTTGTTTGATTCCCTGAAGTAGTAACATTTTCACAAGGTCTCTTGTCATGAAGTTTGCAGTGGGGTGCATTGTAGATAAAACACTTAGCAAAAAGCATTTAGAAAAGGACTTTGGGGAATATATCTTAAGATTTGGCATAAGCATTGACAGGTATATTTTGCTAGTTAAGGTGAAACTTAAGTAGTGCTGTTGAAAAACTGTATTTCTCTTGAGCATCAAGACACCAATACTTAATTGAGCTGACTGTCCTTCTATCTGAAGCAGTTAATGCTGTGAAGCATCTTAAGGAAATAGAAATATTCCTTTCTACCCGTACTAGTTGGTGTTTGGTAACAGAAACCATCCTATAGTTCTTGAATTATTGGATTCCTTCAAATATTATGCAATAGACAGCTGGATATCATAGGGAGACCCAATGTCTTCCCTAGAAGAAAACTGCAGTTACAAACTCAACCCTTGTTAGACAGCAAACAGTTGCACATAAGGGACAAATCTGTAGAAGCAATGGCTTCGTTGTTCTGCTTCTAAAACATGCTTCAATATACTTAGACACTGAAGAGCTTGTATTTCTTGCATGTCACTTATCTCTGTTAGATTAATTACAAAATTATTTCTGGCCTGGCTTATTGAGTGTTCACGTGTTTTACTTCTCATTTTCTTTTTTGTTTTTGGACTTGTCTCTGTGTTGTTCTCGCACAACTGTTCTGATAAAATCAAAAGGGATGTCCCTCTGCCTTCCAGCTGAGGAAGAGGAAGGCTTTGGCATACTTCTCATCCACATTGGTTAAGGTTATGAAGAGTGCAATGCAAGAAGGTCTTCAGATACCGTGGTGAAGAGGACATTACTAGACCAGCTATATAAGGCCATTCTGCCCTGCCTGCTTATATGCCTTTGTAAGGGACAGAAATGTTTTATTTTGAGATAAGAGCTTTTTTGTATTAGTCATTGCTAAAAAATGGAAAAGCATCGAGCCTGCATCCCTACCCTGGATTTTTGATTCCTTATACAGCTCTCTGAGAAGATGGTTTCCAAATAACATTTTTACAGTGGTAGCAGCAGCAGCCCTAGCCCTTTTCAGTCTGTATGACTTCAGCTGGCTTGCATGTGCAGCCTGTTTTCCATAGCGGTGGCAATCTTGGCTGTGAAAGCAGCCAGCGCCTCCAAAGCTGTAAAGGCAACATTGAAAAGAATGGTGTTTGCAAGGCAGCATTTTTGTACCGACATATTTGTTAGATACATACTCCACACAAATAGCTGTTGCTATTTTAGTGAAATACCAGTCAACCATCATCCTTGTATTAGGAGGGGGTTGTTTCTCTGTCCAAGGCTTTTCAGTTTTCATTCAGAAAACAGGCAATTTTTGACATTTTTCTTGAAGCAAGTTAGCTACTTCAGATGGAAAAATGAAGTCATGATGTAACTGGGAATAGAGACTGATGTTGTTGTTTAACTGAAGGAAGCTCTGAACATGGCAAGGGTGTAAGGAATTTTTCCAGTGCCCTCTGTGCCTTGAGCCCCCCTGTGTTGGTGGGGTCATAAGTCAAAACCACTCTAACCAGCAGTTAAAAGCTCCTAGCATCCTTCCGGGGGCAGGCGTCTCCCCTGATTGTAACCTTCTGGACCATGTCATTGTACTGTCTGAAAGTTAATGGGCTTGTATGTATTTATTATTAGTGGGAAGTGCTGTTGTCCCTTGTCAAAGGACAGGCTAAAGGAATTGTCTAGGCCAGATGTGAAATGTGGGACTCGGTGGGGAATGCAAACCAGAGGGCCCAAGTCTCTAGGAAGTCATGTACTCACCAAATCCTCTTTGCTGTTATTCGAAGGATCACACAGAGCTGTGGGTCTAGATTCAATGCTCTTTGGATTGTGGCAGGAGGCTTTGTCAGGCAGGAACTAATACAGAAATGACGTTGAGTACTGCAGCCTTGTGAGTTGGTAGCTTCTTCCATGCTTACGCTTCCCCCTCAGGAAGAGATGGCTTTTGTCTGAGACTGGCTGGTCAGGAGCTCTTCATCTCAGATGTCACCTCCCCTCTGCACTAATAAAGAGGACGATTATCCTCAATCCTCTGAGATAACAGCTCAGCTGACTGACTTGCTTCAGCAACAAGGAACTTGGACTAAAAGTCTTGTGATTTCCCTCCTCCCAAATACCGCAGCCAGAGATGAATAAAAATAAGGAAAAGGAAAAGAAGAGAGAAGATGATCTTGCTCTGTCCCTCTGTGTCCTATTTTCTCAGGCATGGGAGTCTCTGGCATTGGAGCTGGTAGCGCAGAGCAGCACTGGTGTTGAGGCTGATGGGACTTGTCCCACCTTTACACCAGGCCAGTCTCCCAGAAATGCTCTAACAAGTGGGAAATCTGCTTTGACAAGCTAAGCTGTGCTCAGCTACTTTGCATTAAAAAGGTTTTTATTTTCTATGGGGGTAAACTTGCTGGGACAGGAGTATGACATTTTTCAAATCCAAGATTGTTCTTACTTCTGGAAAATACCCCAAAAGAAACCCAAATGTCCTTTCTCATGCGACATTTTGTGACCCTGTACATGAGTAAGGCATATCGTGTAAGAAAAGCCCTTCAAGGTCAGACCTGTAGCCATGTATCTTAGATCAGTTTTGCTGAGAGAGGAAGGAGGACATTTTTTAGTGTAATTTCTTTTCAAGTTAGGTCAGGCAATTGCAATGTTAGCTGTTGGCTGCCATCTTGATGTCCAAGGCCTTTTGTTGCTAGGAAACTCCTGTGTTTCTGTAATACTGTTCAATTACATGGTTAAATTACCCACTTGTATCAAGTTTCAAGCAACACTGAAACATGTCTAGTCATCATGTCTGCACATATGAGAATATTTTAGGAAAATTGAAAAAACATATAGAGAAGTATGTACATATGCACTGATTTAAAATATCTCGCCAGGAAAGTCCCATGGAGATTAAACATTTTACTTCCAAGGTCAGAAAAAGGGAGCGAATGACAGCAGCTTATAGCCACATTATTATGACAAATTAAGATGTAAAATATATGTTAAAACCATTACACACTGAGTTAAGGCTTTGAGACTACAGTGCTTTAAATCTTGAAAAATATGCGTAAGTTGTAGGAAATGGGCATGATGTCCACATGACTCAGATACTTCAGGGCTGATGCAAAATCCATCAATGGCAGAAGGTAACGGCAGGTTTTTAACTGACTGTAATGTGACCAGGAATATGTTTTCTTTCTTTTTATTGTTTTGTCACTGTCAGATTCCCTTTGAGTAAGGCAATGAGCTTACTAATGATCATCATTATTTAGGAGTCATCAGCTGCGGTTTTATTTGACTCGCTGTGATTCTCTCCTCTTCTGAAGCAGAAAAGATCCTGCAACACTGTGGAGCAGGCTTTTGGACTTGTCAGTCTTTATAAAAATTAGCTGGTGCCACCTATGTATCTTCAATACTCCTTCGGTATTTTATAGTCAATAAGCAGGCTTTTTAAAGACTTTGGTTGGGCGTATCCTTGTCCATGGTTTGTTCATTTCTTGTTTGGTCCAAATTCCCAAGGGAACAGTGAGACTTAGCGTTCAAAGAATGACTAATGACAGAGTAGGGGTAGCTGAAAACGATAAGAAAATACTATTTTGGGGTTGAAATGGGAGCTGTGTAATACTTGTTATAACACTTCTGCCGTTTCCAGCAGTCGTTCTTCAGCATTTTGTTCTGTCTGAGGATTACTCTCATACTGAGAAATCTCTGCTAGTTCAAGTTAACCTTTCCTTCTTTCTTCCGTACTGACACTGGGATGCCAGTAGAGTCCTTGCCATGAAAGTGGTTAGCCATATAAAAATTCATTAAATCAGTTACCCCCTCTTCTGTATCAGAAGAAGATATACTACTAAAACTGTATCCTTCAAAGTGTGCGTA